TATGGCGTGCCAAGATGGACAATATTACTTTACGTCCATTTATATAATGTATATTTCAAATATATAAATTCAAATCTATTTTTGTAAGCCGAAATTGCCATATATAAAACGAAACAGAAATATATACAACGAAACAGAAATATATACAACGAAACAGAAATATATAAAATGAAACACTCATATATAAATCGACATTAGTAGATATATAAAACGAAATATTCCAAAATATATGAAACGAATTTTCCCAAATATATAAAACGAAATTCGTCAAATATATAAAACGAAATTCCTCAAATATATAAAACGACATTTTACTAAAATAAAACGACATTTTTGGCGCAGAAAGAGCGCGACTAATTTATCCGGAGTAATTTGCGCTTATGCAAATATGGCGGGCAACAGAAATCTGCTAAGTTTATCAAATCTTGTCAAAGCAATTTCTCGATTGAGTCAAAATAGCACAGAGACCCGTAATAGTGGGGGATGCAAGAAACTACAGACGACGTGGAAGCAACGATATGAACGCTCTTTCCTTGAACGAATGGTCAGACAGAAGCAAACCGAAATGAAATTCGTGTGGTCGCGGAACACGACGCGCTCGGCGCTGAATGCACCTGATCGTCGATACCCCGAAAACGCAGAAAGATTCGCGCCTAATTGCAAATATGGTATCAAGAAACGGCCTACTGGCAAGCTACGTTGAGCAACAACAAAAATATGCTCATATAACCTGCACCACCTTGTAACACCCTGATTTCATCAGGTGCCCAGCAGTCTGTGAGAAAACATTTTCCGCTTCTTTCGTGCCTCAGCCAGCGGAAAATAACACTTCTCACACACCGCTCGGAGCTGCTGTAGCGTCAGCCGCAAGCATACAACGCATAGAGTTAATTTATACAGTTTATGTATAAATCATATTTGGAAGCCAGGAACCTCCATTTGGAGGCGTATCCAGAGTATCAAATATGGTCAGATACTTCTGAGCACACCTATGACATACAGCCGTGCTATCGCGTTGTCCAAGAAAGCATTAGTGAAGGAAGGGCTTGATGCTAAAGATTACGGACTTCACAGTTTACGATCTGGCATGGTAGTGCTACAAGCCTACGACTGCAGCTGCTCTCGGTATTCCAGACCGCCTGCTACAGAGGTAAGGAGGGTGGCATACTGCGAAGGCAAAGAACAATTACATTGATGAGTCAAAAAAACTCTTTACTTCATATTACAAAAATAATGCAGAAGGCATAAACTGTATAAATGAACTCTGTGCGTTGTATATGGTTGCGGGTGACGCTGCAGCTGCTCCGAGCGGTGTGTGAGAAGTGTTATTTTCCGCGGCTGAGGCACGAAAGAAGCAGAAAATGTTTTCTCACAGACTGCTGGGGGCCTGATGAAATTAGGGTGTTACAGGGTGGTGCAGGTTATATGAGCATATTTTTGTTGTTGCTCAACGTAGCTTGCCAGTAGGCCGTTTCTTGATACCATATTTGCGATTAGGCACGAATCTTTCTGCGTTTTCGGGGTATCGACGATCAGGTGTATTCAGCGCGTCATGTTCCGCGACCACACGAATTTCATTTCGGTTTGCTACTGTCTGACCATTCGTTCAAGGAAAGAGCGTTCATATCGTTGCTTCCACGTCGTCTGTAGTTTCTTGCGTCTCCCCACTATTATGGGTCTCTGTGCTATTTTGACTCAATCGAGAAATTGCTTTGCCAAGATTTGATAAACTTTGCAGATTTCTATTACCCGCCATAGTTGCATAAGCGCGGTTTACAGAAAATGTACTCCGGATAAATTAGTCGCGCTCTTTCTCCGCCAAAAATGTCGTTTTATTTTAGTAAAATGTCGTTTTATATATTTGAGGAATTTCGTTTTATATATTTGACGAATTTCGTTTCATATATTTGGGAAAATTCGTTTCATATATTTTGGAATATTTCGTTTTATATATATACTAATGTCGTTTTATATATGGGTGTTTCGATTTATATATGAGTGTTTCATTTTATATATTTCTGTTTCGTTGTATACTGTATTTCGGTTTCGTTGTATATATTTCTGTTTCGTTTTATGTCTTTTATATATGGCAATTTCGGCTTACAAAAATAGATTTGAATTTATATATTTGAAATATACATTACATAAATGGACGAAAAGTAATATTGTCCATCTTGGCACGCCATATTCGTCACGCCATCGTGATCTACAGCTTGATAGCACATGCGCATTTGCGCTGCTAAAGAAAAAATGGGTGTTCCGGGGGAAAGATCTTTCACACAACACGGAGAAGCAAATGTTATAAAATTGACAAAAATTTGCAATAACAACAATTCCTGGAAATTTTTGTGAACTTGGCAAAAGGACAAAATAAGTATTTAAATAAGACAACTGAAATTGCTTAAATAACCTTCAAAGCACTGACTAAGTAGAATAAATCACCACGATGATAAATCGTATACACCCCCCGGAAAGTTTACTCTATGATATCTGATGTATGACAGATGTGAATTTTCGCCACTCATCACAATAGTGCACAGTTTCAAAGAAACTCTGCACTAAAAACGACCTCCACCTCCCAAAGACGAACACAAACAAGGGAAAACAAAGACCAAGCTACCAAGCATCAAAAGACTTTAACAACCTAGAACCAGACATTAGAAACGCTAACTCGTTATACAAGTTTAAAACTCTATTAAAAAACGCTGTGTAGGCGAGAATTACATAGTAAACATAGTCTTAGTTCCATTACGTTTTGTATATATATATATACATAGTATAAGTATGTTAACGCATGTTATTGTAGATTTGCATGTTATTTTGTAATGTATATGTATATTGAAGTTGAAATTTATAATGCAGGACCCCACTGAAAAACACTTCGGTGACGTGGGTATCCTGGATAAATATAAATATAATAATAATAATAATAATAAATATTGAGCAAGGTGGAACTTTCATTCGGACTTTATTTCAATCGCCATAGATATTGATAATATTTTACCAACATTATTGGTCTAATTTACTACATTTACTATGCAAACTAAACCGGGTAAAAGCTTGAATATTATAATTTGGATGAACTAATTGATTACAATTTAATAAAGACCGACACCGAATTTATGGCAATATTGTACACTTTGATAAATTCAATCAAAGTTATTGATTGATAAATTCAATCAAAGTTATATCCAGAGTATAGTATATTTCATGTAGAGCCGCTTCATTCTGAATTTGCCATGTATTCTTGCCGGGTCATGGCAAGATCTGGCTGGATTTTGGTAAGATATTGAAGGATCATGGCAAGATCTCGCAGGATTTTTGGTAAGATCTTGGAGGATCATGGCAAGATCTTGCTGGATTTCGGTAAGATCTTGGAGGATCATGGCAAGATCACGCAGGATTTTTGGCAAGATCATGGCAAGATCTTGCTGGATTTTGGTAAGATCTTGGAGGATCATGGCAAGATCTTGCAGGATTTGTGCTAAGATCTTGGAGAATCATGGCAAGATCTTGCAGGATTTGTACCAAGATCATGCCAAGATGTTACATAAATCCTGCAAGATCATGGAAAGATCTTGCATGATCTTGCAAGATCTTTCCAAGTTCTTGCAGGATCTTACCTAAGATCTTGCAGGATCTTGCAAGATCTTTCCATGTTCTTGCAGGATCTTACCTAAGATCTTGCAAGATCTTGCCATTATCATGGCAAGATCTTGCAGGATTTGTACCAAGATCATGCCAAGATCTTACATAAATCCTGCAAGATCATGGAAAGATCTTGCATGATCTTGCAAGATCTTTCCAAGTTCTTGCAGGATCTTACCTAAGATCTTGCAGGATCTTGCAAGATCTTGCCATTATCATGGCAGGATTTATGTAAGATATTGGCATGATCTTGGTAAGATCTTGGGTAAGATCTTGTCAAGATCTTGCTGGGATCTTGGCAAGATTGTCAACCTGGGGTACATAAAGGAAACTAAGTAAGTTATACTTTATAATTTAAAGTACATGTTTAATGCAAAATATAATAAAATTTAAAAATAAATAAATACCCACACAGAGCCTGGGCCATCTGTGTTTTTAATAGCAAAGAAAAAGCAAAATATTGTGAATTTGTTTAATATACTGTATATGAATTTATTCAATTTACTACAGTATGACAAATGACAACACTGAGTCAGAGTGGAAAGAGCAATAATATAGAAATAATTCAATGGACAAATTACGAAATCTACCGTATTGTTTCATCTGTAGACCCTGAAGCCAAAATTTTCTCATTGCAAGCCACTGCTTTGACACAACCACTGTGACCATGATCCGAGAATGCAGCCTCAAATCTGTAATTCTACAACGAAAACAACACATACTCATTAAACTAAATTACATAACCACTTTATTCCGACCAATTACGCTTTCTTACTTGATTATCATCCTCACAACAGAGCTGTAAAGCACACAATGATTGATCATATGTGCCAACTACGACCTCCATCTTGGATTTTCACGGTCAGACATTTAAGGTGGCTCTCCAGTGTTTCGTACTTGTACCGGTGCAAGAGGAAATATGCCCTCCCCCCGAAAAAAATATGAAGCGAAAATTCTCTGCGCAAATTCCTAGAAAATAAGTCCCCCCCCCCTTTAAGATCGAACGATTAGAAGCAGATTACTCATTAATGTGAAAATTATATGCAACCAAATGTATTATACTGTTTAGTTTTTATCAAACTACTGGCAATCATTATTAAAAAAAAACATGAAGACAAAACTATGAAAAGTAATGAAAAGTATTAGTCAACATATTCCTAGATGTTGCAACCGCTTGAAAACTAAATAATGATCTTGCTTTCTAGGTAACCATGGGTTGCATGCCCACGGGTCAGGAATTTTTAAACGTATAAATAATTTGTCATTAGCAAAGTTTGAAACGAAACAGTCGAAACATGACTTCAGACAAAACTATGATCAAAATCCGGCCATCCCGACCGATTTTCACGTCAAATCCCGTTATCCCGCCCTTGTATTCCGCCATGACTCATCCCAATTTCCTGCTCCCGCCCTTTTTCTTTCTAAGGGGTCTTCTAACACTGTTCCGACGTATTATCACGGTTTTAGATGTAACAACGGATAACCAGGTATTCAAAGAACGTGGTAAACGATATAGAATATTAGAATACAATTTGAACACACTAGATAAGAATACAATATAACAGAGACTCTTATGCAAGCTGGTGAAGCTGCAATCATAGATGTAATTGGGGGGTTGATAAGGGACAAATGTTCAATATCATTCTGAAATTTTCTACCGATTTCGACACGACGTTAATCAAATATTCAAACACTTAAGAGTTTGTGAAATTTAATATCCTGAGATGTCTTACTGAAATACAATCTGACTGCAAAGACGCGCAAAATTTATAAATTATTTGCGGCGACCGATTGTTCATGAAGTGTCTAACTGACACAATTATCAGCTTTCTTGGCTAGTTGGCTGTAGATTTTGTGTCCGAGGCCGTTGTCAGGCGAAGCGAATCAAAGCGGAGGTATTTGCCAACTGTTTGGTTTCTGGCTGGCTAGAATATGGTAAGTTAAATTTAGCGGAAGCGTCGACAGAATCCTGCATATAACATTTTCTTTTCACAATACAGCATGTTTTGTTTGGTGTTTGGTGTTTGTTAAAGTTCTCGGTGGGATCTGGTAGTGACACTAGAAAAACACCAGAAAACTGTGGATGTGTAGGGATTGCCAGGGGCGCCGGAACGATGTGAAGCCAAGGGGGGCAGATGTTCATGAAAGGGCACTTTTGATTTGATATATAGTATACTAAGAGATGTTTGCAATACATCGGGAGTTGAACTTCGCCTAATCATGTTTTCTATTCATTGGGGCGATTGTGCTCGATGACTGCATTTCTTGCGTTTTCCAAAGCAAATTCGTAAAAGAATTGCACTAACATTTCCGACAATTCGTATTTCGCCGAGGCAATCCTTTAATTAAATTGAAAGGGCACCTTTTCCCCCCTTGCCCCCCTTGCCCCTCCTGATAAAGGGCAACGGGGGCGGCTGCCCCTCCTGCCCCCCCCCCAGTTCCGGCGTCCCTGGGAATTGCTCATTGAAGTAATTCAACTACCTGAAAAATACAAATAAAACTTCGACGTTTCGAGCCTTCGAAATATCGTACAAACTACGCTGGCGGAACGCCTTTATCATATTGCCTTTGGCATATCACGGTTATACTGTATACATCAATCATGGTCTTGCGCCGAAATATATTAGCGAATTAGCCTTTCTTACGATGACGAATATCCGCCACTTTTGGGTCAACCTCGTACCCAGGGACTTTCCTCTCGGGGAGCAAAGACCCTGGTAGACGCTGGTCACGTGATCTGCTAAAATCTAGCAGATTTTTAATTAGCAATCCAAGATCAGGTCAATAAACATTTGGTATTTGGATTGTTTTGATAGTTTGATTTATAATTTGCATTTTGTATGATTGTCGTAAAGAAAACCAAGATAGTTAATTAGAAATCTGCTAGATTTTAGCAGATCGCGTGACCAGCGTCTACCGTACCAGGGTCTTTGCTCCCCAAGAGGAAAGAGCCTGGGTACGAGGTTGTTTTTGGGTGGCATCCAATTCTCGTTAACCAATGCAGACAATTAAAACAATGTGAGAAGCAATTTTTCAAATTAAACTAACCATTTACAAAGCAAATTTACCATCATTTGTCCAAAAAATTATAAAAAGTCGCTGTTATGTGGACTTAAAAATGGCGGCGTGAGAAAGGCTAATATATTTTGCTGTAAAGGAAAAATCGGAATATAGCCTGGCTGGGACCAAATTCTGAAATCATATCGCAGCTGTTCCTGGTTAGGTCTAATAAATGTATATAAATTATGATTTTTTCTCAGGGGCGGCGCTACAGGGGGGTGTGGGGGGGTGGAACACCCCCCCACTCGTCAGCTAATCGGCAAATTGTTGTCTCAGTCGGCAAAACTGGATTGGGTAGTCGGACAATATTCGATCAACAGTCGGGCAATTTTGGTTTGCAATTAAAAAAAATCGGACAAATTCTGTCCATTTTGTCTAAAATTAAGTCAATTTTTTGGCAAATTTTGTGATTTTTCGAAAATATGTGTTATGTTCCGAAAAATATTGGTTGTCCGGAAAATTTTTT